ACATCTTTTTAGGTCTGACCTTCTTCAAACACATCTCTAACCAAAATTTTAATGTCTCTTTTTGTGTGGACTTCCTTGACAGCCAAGACCCTCTCTAGCTATATATTAATTTCTCTCGAACTCAGCTGCCTCTAATTTGGTGACTCATGCATATTATCCCAGAAGTCTGGGGGCCTGAAGCAGCAGGATGCAAGTTAGTAATTTAGCAAGATCCTGTCTCAAAATAAAGAAGGGCTGTGGGAGGCGCGGGGGGTGGGGGGAGGCTGGGAGACAGCTTGATGGTCTAAGCGCCTGCCTGGCAAGCGCAAGGACCCAGGTTTGATCCCCAGTACCACAGGCCATGCTGGCCCTGGTGTGCTCTGCTGGCCACTGAAACCAGGCATGGTTTCATACCTGTGATCCCAGCACTGGGGAGGCTGAGACTTTAGGATCATTTTGAGTCTGAACTATGTAGCAAGACACTGTATCAAATAAATATAATTTTTTAATTTTTTAAAATTTTATTTATGTGTGTGTGTGTGTGTGTGTGTGTGTGGCCAGCTCAGCCCACCAGGGGGCGGGGCTGGCTGGCATGCGGTGCTGGGGGATTGAACCATGGTCTCTGTGCTTTGCTTGTTCTAGGTAGGTGCTTTAGACCACTGAGCCATCTCACCAGCCCATAAGGTCTTGTGTCTCATACCCTAATTATATTTATTTATTTATTTGGAACTGGGGATTGAACTCAGGTCCTTGCACTTGCCAGGCAAGCACTTATTCAACCGAGCTATTTCCCCGGCCCCAAATAAATAAATTTTTTAAAAAAACTTTTTAAAGGGCTGGGAACATAGTTTAGTGCAAAGGACCTGGGTTCAATCCCCTACACACACACACACACACACACACACACACACACACACACATGAATATATAAGCAAACAAACATACACAGGGTGCCTTTCTTTTCTCTTGTTGCTAGGACAAAATACCCAACATCCAAAATTAAGGAAGGAAAGGTTTATTTAGCTCACAGTTTGTGGAGGCTTCGGTTCATACTCAGCTGGCTCCAAGGCAGAACAGCACATGGCAGAGGGCAGCAGTTCATGGTGGCAGAAAATAGCAAAGAGCAAAGGGAGGGGCAGCTGCTGCAGTAGCAAGCTAGGCTCTCACCCCTCCTCACATTGTAAGGCAGATTACCCACCCCAGGGTGGGAACAGCATTCACACCCATAATCCCAGCGTTGGATCATGAATTAATCACCAACTCTAGAAGCCACCCCATGACTACATGAGGCTTTGGGGGTACACCTGGATACAAACCATAACATTCTGCCCCTGGATCCCCAAAGACTCATTCACATCTCTTTATGTAAAAGACATTTTAGTCCATCTCTGAGAGTTGCCAAAGGCCTACAGTTTCAGCACTGCTGAAAAGTCCAAGTCCCAAGTCTCCTCCAAGATCTAGGGCAAACTCTGAGCTGTGAGGCCTGGACAAATGGAAAGTTAAACACTTCCAACATTCAGTGGCACAAGAAAAACATTACTATTCCAAGAGGTTCAAACAGAGGAATACAAAGCACTGGGACCAAGGCAAGTGAAAAATACAGAAGGGCAAACATCAAGTCCTGTAGTTCCCTGTGGAACATCCAAAGCAATCTGTGGCACAACTGTGAGTTCCGTGTGGCTCCACCTCTGTGGCACTTTTGGTGGTAGTTCCCATGGCTTCTCTCTTAGGCCTGCTTTGCTCCCTTCTTAGGTGAGGCACTTAGTTGTCCTTAGGTGATCCACATTCCTGGCTTTTCCAAACTTCTGGGCTTTCCACTGCATGTTAAGTTTCTCACTCTTTGCTTCACATATTGCCCTCTCAGGGGCACACTGCCTGGCCTTCCAGGCCTTCTTAAATCTAGGTGAAAGCCTTCTTAACCTCAGAACTCTTGGTCCATTGCTCGATTGGCAAATGACCCCAGAACAACAGTAGGGGTATTTACTTATACCTTTGCAAGTTAGTATCACATGACACAAGGTTGCCTAGTGATTAATAAGCTGACATTGACCAGGCAGGATGCTTTTCTCAAGACTGAGGTGGCTTCACTGCTTTAGGCACTGAGGCCTTGTCCTGCCCTCCCACATTTGACCCATTTCCAGCTTCAGCAGCTCCCAACAACAGAGAAGAGCAAAGTGTCATTCAGATTTTTTGAAAGATACCCAAAAGTCACTAGTTTAAAATACAATACCAACTGTCACATCAAATCACATTTTTCCAATAGTTTTGGCACCAGGGATTGAACTCAGGAGGGGATCAAACTTACACTTGCCAGGCAGGCATTTACGCCACTGAGCTATCTCCCTGGCCCTTGCCAATAGATGTGGTCTAGATCTAAAGTTGCTCTACACTTTCAGAGCCTACCCTTGTAGGCAAATGTGGCTCATAAGCAGATCACAGCTAGGAAGGCCGCATTCTGTCCCTGCCTCCTCTCTCTCTCTCTGAATCTCTCTCTCTCTCTCTCTCTCTCTCTCTCTCTCTCTCTCTCTCTCTCTCTTTGTCTCTCTCTCTCCCTCCCTCCTGGCCACCATAACGCAAGCTGCCCTTGGACCCTGCTGGCCACAGACTGAACCCACTGAAATAATGAGCCACAATAAACTTCTCCCTAAAGTCTCACCTGCTCAGCATTTCACCCCAGTGACAGGAAAGTGACTAATACAGACACAAATTTATAACGATAATTAATCTCACACATGTTCAAGGAATCACATGCAAAACATCAGGGAACACCTGTGCGCACACACGCAATCACATGTCTCTCCATACTTGTACATCTATGCATCCTGAAAACCCGGAGCCCACATTAGGACCCACACTGGTCACCATTATGCGGATCCCAGCGCACTCTCTTTCCACCTGTACCTCCCTACTCCAACAAGCCCTCCTGCCTCCCTTGCTGTGAACACTTAATCTCCACTCGCCCTGCTGAGACAGGAGCCCACATCCTGAGGGAAAACTGGGCAACTAGGGGTTAACTGAACAGCTAAGCTCCCTGAAAAACACTGATGCGTATGACGTCAGCTATGTACAGACACAGCTATAGTACAATGTCAGTAGAGCACAACAAACTTGAAAGGTTCCGCTGGAACTCTCTGCTCTCCCTTTCCCACTGTTCACCCCACCCCCAAGCGCTGTTTCACTTCCATTTCTGTAACAGCTCACCAAGACAAGGTTGCCCCATAAAAGAAGAATAACATAAGAGTAAAACTAAGATCCTATTTGAGGGCTGGGGAGATAGCTCAGTGGTATAAGCACCTGCCTGGTCAGTGCAAGGTCCCGAGTTTGATCCATGGTACTTACTGCACACTGTGCTGACACCAGAACCCCGGGCACACCATGTGGGCCCCCGAAACTGGGCATGGTGGCACACACCTGTAAGCCCAGTGCTGGGGAGCTGAGACAGGAAGATTGCTACAAGTCTGAACTGCATAGCAAGACCCTGTATCCAAAACAAAAACAAACAAACAAAAAAAAAAGGCCCTATTTAAGCGCTCAGGTAGACACTAGTCACCTGAGGGATGCTGGTAACAAAGATGCCCTTTTCTCCTACTCCATGTCTGAGTGGCTTTATTTAGGGTTCCATACAGTTTTTTGCTTCACCCATGTGGGCTCTGCCACCCACAGGAGGCCACTCTTTACTAAGGAACATTTGTCACCCTGCTTACGTTGGAACTCTCCAAGCCAGGGTATCCCCCTCATGGACCTACTCCTTGTGCCACCTGGCTTGAGCTGTGCCACCGCATAGCTGCCCTCCACATCCTGCCTGGCTCTGGATCCCTGTGAAGGCTTCCTTCACACCCTCAACCCCTCTAGCTCCACTGCCAGTCACGCTGCACCCCTGCCCTGACACAGGCGCACATTTTCCCCTGCTCTAGCTTCGACACCCCATCAAACCACCCCAGCAATGACACCTGCTCACCACATTAGGGCGCCACTGTCCCTAGGGAGCACCCCCTCTGGGGATGCCATGTTCACCTGCTGGCCATCACCCCACCTTACATCCCCCTCCTCACAGGCACACACAGCCTTATCCCATGTGGGTTCCATCTCCCATGCCCAGGCACCACCTTGTCCACACTCTGTCCTCCTCCCTAGGGGGTTCTACCACCCACTCTGGCCCACCCCCTGTGTAGACGACTCCCTTACTACACCTGGGCTTTTACCCTGTACCAGGATGTCACCGTGGCTATTGTCCTTACCCTGCCTGGTCGCTGACACCACACTCCACTCCACTCCATGACGTCCTCTACAACTGCAGAGAGTCACTTAGCTCAGCCTGCCTAAGGTTGTCAGGACTAGACCATTCAGGAAGCAAAGTTCGAGCTTAATATTTTCAAGAAACTAAATGTTTTCAAAGAAAATTTACTGTAAGAAAATGCTTTCAATTATTCACTTTTAATCCTAAAATGTAACTGCACAAAAGTATAAAACTATGGGTAGTAATCTTAAAAATCCCTTATAGCATAACTGATAGGTAACCTTTGTCAACTAGTGTATTTATGGTCTCTAATATATTTTCTATACGAATAACATTTCTTGTCCAAAAGGCAATGACTTCTAAATGCTATTTACTTAATATAAGTCAGTATCTTTTCCTGCTGTAAGCACACATGAGCATATGTATCCGTTTTGATGCAAAAGCCACATGATTCTTTGAACTATCCACAATTCATTAAACATTTAGGATAAGTCAGCCACATACATTCTCCAACAAAGCTGTCAACTGCTAGGAAAGGTGAATCTACTCCAAGAACTTCTAACTTAAGAGTCCAAGTTTCTCCTGGGGCAGGGGGAATGTTTCTACTAAAAAAAAGAAACAGGTGAAGAACTGCAGCAGAGACTCAGAAAATGCAGTGTGGACATGTTTAAAGTCTGCCACCATGAGGGACCAAATCCCTTAAAAAGTTGCACTGACTTGAGAGAGTCGGCTGCAGGCCTGGTGGGAGAAGGCCCCAGGGTCTCGGAGGAGAGGCGCCACTCACCTGCTCGTAGGCTTTCAAGGGCCGTGGGGGCTTCTCATCCTGTCCCTCCATGCTCCCTCCAGGCTGGGCAGATGCTGAGCTTCAGGGAGAGGGGAAACCCTGAGAACAGGACCGCAGCATTCTCTGCAGGTCCACCCAGCCCCGCCCCACCCCACCCCACCCCGCCCGTGAATCAGCCTCTGATCCCCAGATGTGTACTCATGGCAAGAGTACTTCTAGACGTTTCTATGCATATACCTATGCATGCACCAAGAGTCCCCCGGTCCTTCTCCCAGCTCCAACCCTGCTCCTTCACAGCCACCCACCCCCAAGCCACCTCATGCCCAAATATGACCTTCTGTCTACCACCCAAATCCATAGCACTAATTCCTCCCCTGGTCCACTGGGTCCTGGAATCCCCCACAGACACTCAACTCATGGAGGATCCTGTGGTGTGTATCCTTCTGTCCCATTCCTAACCTGCAACTTCAAGCCAGCACATCTTCCCAGGGTCAGCAGCACAGCTCTGGCACTGATGGGCTAGAATCGTGCCCCTTGGCCAACTGCACGAAGCCCACCAGCCACACCCCTCCCAGAAACTGACTCAGCAAGGAGCACTGATCTTGCCCTTCCAACAGCCTGACCTGTCCTCCAGCAGCTCAGGGCAGGTGGCCTTTACTTCCTTCTCAGAGCCCAACCACAGCCAGCCCCAGGTCCCTCCACCATCTCCCCAGAACATCACCTGTTGGGAGTGAAGCTATCTGTACCTCAGGTATCTGGGGTAGTACCACTACCTCTCATGAGTTTGGCAGGGCCCCATCAGCTCAGGGAGCTGATGCACATAGTGACTTGACCTTCACTAGAGATAACAGAGACAGTCTTGTCTTGTTCCCATGAAACCACCAATTGTCCCAGTAGATTTCCTCCAGTCCCAGATTCTACCCTCCCCTTAAACTCCCCGTGAAATTACTCATATGCTGATTGTATAAATAAATGCACTGCGGGTGCTGGGCAGTTCCCTTCTCCCATCAGCAGAGGGGCTCCACCTGACCTCAGCTTTCCACATCTTGACTTGTTTACTTCATCCCCCACCATCCTCCCTCTGGAGTTTCAAGAGCTGTGCCAGAAACAGCAATCACTGGCTGAGGTTTCAATTCCAACATCCTCCTGGACCCCAAATGTGTAGCTCTGACCTGCTTCCTCCATCTCCCCGGGTGCAGCAGTCTGCACAGGTCTGGGGACTGTGGCAGACACCAGCACACCAGCCAAAGGCAGTCCCTCCCTGCAAAAAAATGTGTTCCTCAGTAGCTTAGCTGTTTTTGTACTAATTAGATGTCCCTTTGTCACCCTACACACCATCTCTCCATCTTAGCCATTATTCCTGCCCTCCAGATCCTCACTCAGGAAGTGTAGTGTATGTTCCCAAGCCAGCTGTGCCCTGCACCTGCCCCCAACCCCACTCCCTCTGGCTTCCTCAGGTCCCAACTCGAGCTGCATCTGACTCCTGCCCAAATGCCTTCCTGGGGAACTGTGGCTCATAGAGATCCTGTCTCTTCATTAACTTGGGCACTGCCGGGCTGTAATCAGGGCAGCATCTGCACAAAGGCATAAGCACTCTCTAAAAATCCATCTCTACCCTCCTGCTTTCCATCTAAATACCTATTCCTGTGCACACAGCGTGCCTGGAACTGCCACGCCCCTCTGCATCCCCGAACACCCAGCAGCTCCCTCCAGCCACCCAGGCCTCTCCAGCTCCCACACGTGCAGGCTACAGTTGAGCAGCCCCATGCCTCCTAAGACCAGAGCCTGCACATCCACGCTGGGGCTCCCAGGCCTCCACTCCAGCAGCCACTGAGCATAGCCCCGTCCCCTCCTTGCTTGGCACACCCACCCACGCACAGAGCAAATTCACACCCAGCATCTGCATACAGGGCTGGAGTGCTTCACCCGGGGGTTCTGTGTGGGTCCCACTCCTGAGATGAGAATCTGCACACTTAACTCTATGCCACAAACTGGGACATCTCCACTATATAAAGTAGAAGAGTGCGTCCCAGGTTCTCCCCCATATCCGCGTACCTGCTCTACCTTCTAGTATCATGAACATGCTCAGATCCCAGACCAGTGAACCACCTGCCCAAGCTTCCGCGCACGCACGCTAAGCACGGTAGCAACTGCCTCAGTATCTCCGCCAGCTTCCAGACGCAAAGCTAAACGTTATCTAGCAGTCAGGCGCTAGACCATACTCCCCACAGAGCACAGCTTCTAGGTGCCCGCTTACATCCTGCGCATGCGCACACAGCTCGCCCAGTGCCGCGCCGCCCCCTACCAACCTGGGTGTCTGAGCGCCGGCAGCGCAGGCCTGTCCTGTCCGTACTTGGGATCCCGGCACGGCTCTGCGGAGAACGTACTCCGGTTGAGCTGCCCACTGCCTCGATTCGGCAGCAAGTCAGACTGGGGTTAAACTAGACTGATCCTCGCCCCTAGTTAACATCCGCAAGATCGCTTGGGGTTAACTTTGAAAGACTGCGGTGTGGAACGACTGTCAGCGTCCGCGCACCGGACAATGGCTGCGCTTCTGGACGAACAAGGAAGTGCGTTGCTCTCGGCGAGTCGGAACTACAATTCCCAGAAGCCTCAGCGGTTTACGCGGCCACGGGGAGGGCATTGCCCCCCTTGGCGGAGCGGGCATTGCACCCGTTGGCAGAGCGCAGACTGGCGCGCTGCACTGGGGTCCGGAGGAGCGCCGTTCAAGCTGTGCAGAGAAGCGGATGCAGAGCAGAGAAGTGTCCGATATGCAAAATGCTGGCTCCGGACCCGCTTGACCTCTGTGAGTCTTCCTGAAAACAGAATCGGCGCGGAAACCACGGTTTCCTTTCCTGAGCTCCTGCTGCCTCTTGATTCTCTTGGTAAACGTGGTGACCCCATTTTACAGCTGAGGCGTCCTTACAGGCTCAAGAATCTGATGTGCTTGTACTTGGTAAAGTAGGAATCCTTTTGCTCACGGGAGTGGTGGCACAGCCAGTAGTACCAGCACTCAGGGAGAAAGGCAGGAGAATCACGTTCGAGCCCACTTTGAGTGATGTAGCAAGACCCCGCCGCAAGATTTTTAAAAAGTTAGAAAAAGGGCTGTCTCCTTCTTCTCCTTCTCCTTCTCCTTCTCCTTCTCCTTCTCCTTCTCCTTCTCCTTCTCCTTCTCCTTCTCCTTCTCCTTCTCCTTCTCCTCC